GGACATACATACACTACCAAACGTAAAATAGATAGCTAGTGGGAAGCAGTCACATAGCACAGGGAGATTAGGTCGGTGCTTTGTGACCAGCTAGAAGGGTGGGATGGGGAGGGTGGGAGGGAGGGAGATGCAAGAGGGAAGGGATATGGCGATATATGTATATGTATAACGGATTCACTTTGTTATAAAGCAGAAACTAACACAACATTGTAAAGCAATTATACTCCAGTGAAAACGTTAAAAAAATAAATAAATAAAACATGGATACAGAGAGTGGGCAGGTTTGCCCAGACAAGATCGCTGCTTTCATGGAAGGTCTCCAGAGAAAGACCAGTCCTCTCTGAAAGTGGCAGCGCTGTTTGGTGTTATAATTCCCACCTGGAGACCCGACTGCAGTCTCAAGGTGCCTTTGGAGAGTTGACCTGTGCAGCTTTTTTAGAGCATACATAGGCAAATCATTTGTGACAACCAAAATATGAAGAATTGCTAACCCCTCCCTGGCCCCATGTCCTTACTAAATGCCAACCTTAAATAGTCTATTCTTCGTTAGTGCTTTCCCCCTCTGCAGTAGCCTAGTACAGCCCTTACTCTGTACTGTAGATAGTGTTGTATTGTAAATAAGGCCATTAGTACCCAGCTATGCACGCTGGGGTGCTCACTAAATACCGTGTCCATTGGTTATATTTTCCCATGAATTCCCTACATTTCAGAAGATCAAAACCGAATGTTAATGACTCATTTTTCTCTGACATTAAGCAATAGGTAGAAATTGTGGAAAACATGGTGCAATTTTTTTTTTAGTGTGAAAGATTGTCCTAGTTTGAGTTACTGTGGAAGTAGATCCCAAGACAAGGATTCAAATGCAAATCATTTAATTGAGAGGTTAAGGAAACACTGGAGTGGGGTGAGGAAATGAGACAGGCATAAAGGAGCTAATATAGGGTGCTACCAGAGCTTCAGCCTGCTGGGGATCTCTGGGAGGTTGTGTAGGAGACTCAGAGTTCTCCCACCTGAGGGTGAGGAAGCTGAAGCATTTCATATACAAATCCTGTCAGCTCTGGGTTGAGGACTGTTGGGAGAACCTTAATTTCGTAGCACTTTCAGCCTGCTGCCCTGGTGGCAAAAATGGGCTTTATGCTAGTGGGTTAGGGATATGGGTGGCTGCTACAAAGTTACTGTTGGATATCCAGAATAATACTGCAGTATTTTTCAGCAAGGTCTGGCACTTCTATCATTAAAGAATTGTTTTTTCTGGTGATGGGCAAGAGGCTGGTTTCATTTACTTGAGTTTAGTAATTAAGAATGATAATACTTTTTCAACCTCACAAGTTTATTGTGAGGATGAAGTGAATTAGTACTAGCTGTGAAAGTACAAGAGAAATGGAAGATGGCAGTTGAAATTATTTGATTGTTTGCAACTGGATAAAAAAATGAACCAAGGAAAAACAGTAATCTGGAAAATAAAACTATCACAGTTTTTTTCTCTTTTTATTGTTTTAAGTGGTTTTGCTTCTGAATCCCAAAATGTGGAGTTTCATGTGATTTAGTTTATTTCACGTTTTCTGATTCATCAGAAAGCCTTCTTGGAATCTGACATGTTATCACTTTGGGACTGTGGGCCAGCTGCTCCTGACGTGGCCACATGAAGGCTCAGACTGTTCCAGTCTCTGAACTGAAGAGAACCAACACTGTTAGCATATCTCTCACCACCATGAATGCAAGGTTAGTATTCTCTTTGTAGTCAGTTTTTGTAAATGTTACATGTGATCTCAAAATGAGTGTGTATTCTCTATTTGTTGAGTGTAATATTCTGTGTATGAATATTAGATCAAGCTGTGTTTTTAGTGTGGATTAAATCTTCACTGTTTTTAATGTATGTATATATATTGCCCACCTTACTGATAACTTTTCGAGAGAAGTTAACTGAAAATATTCTATGATGGTGGATCGGTTATAAAAATGTTGCTTTATGTATTTTGAAACTACATTATTCAATGCATACAGGTTCAAAATTGTTATAGCTTCTTGGTAGATTGTTTTTATCATCTAGTGAGGTCCTGCTTTATTCTTACTGTCTTTCTGCTTTAAGTTCTGTTTTGCCAGATATTAATTTTGCTAGATAGATTTTTGTTGTTATTTGTCTAATATATATTTCCCATTCATTTTATTTTAGCTTATGTATGTCATTGTGTTTTAGGTGTGTCTCCTATAAATAGCCCATATCTAGTTTTTGTTTTTCACCTACCAAATATAAATAGATTTACTTACCTATTAAAGATTAAAAGCATAGATTACTGCTATATTTGGGTTTAATTTTTGCTTTCTTGTTGTTCCTGTTTATTTTTTCATTTTTGTTTTCTTCTGGTTTGGAAGTTATCGATTCTATTTCTTTCTTTATCGTTCATTTCTTACTCTCATTTTCCATTGCCTTTTGACCTTTTATGTTGCTGATGAGATGTTTTCTGCAAGGTTGTCTTTCCTTAGCTTGGAATAGAGTAAAAACATGATAAATATTTGTCTTCTGGAATAACATTCACTGCATATTTGAGGGTTGTTGCTGTGTACCTAATGACATATAGTGTATATGTTGCTTTACTCCCTGCTCACAGAGGGTATGGGGCAAATTAGTGAAATCTTCCCAAACTTTCTTTGGCATTTCTATCCACAGTACTTGGCTGACCCTCCCTCTTCTTCCCTTTCTCTTTCCTCATGATTTTTCTCGTGGCCTTTGAAAAGGAGCCTTAAATAGTGACAGGAGTTGAAAGAGGTAGCATGAAGGAAAGTTCAGTATATCAAGTTATGAAGCCTCAGCTACCCAGTTCTGTAAAGTTAATAGTTTTTAAAGGGAACCTCTTTTTTTCTTTCTCTCCATTTGTGTGACAGCTTTGTCCTGTGACACATGCGCCTTCAGCTGACTTTCGAAAGCCTGCTATTTTTGAGGTCATAATTTTGACTGATGGGCCTATAATTAGTAAGTGCTCATTAAATACTCTGTCCTGAGTATTTCTGTGGGGTGGTAAAGAATGTTCTTAGCAGCTGCCAGGGTGATAACAGTCCTGCCAATTGGCATGACTCCAAAAGTAACCAAAGAACTTTATTAAGATTAAAAGCAAACGAACAAAGAAGCATAGCAGTAGCTATAGCAGCAACTATGGCAAAGGAGAAAATAGTGTGAAGGCCTCCTAGTCACCAAATCCTTTTTCTCCATAGTGTTCAAAGCTTGATACACTCTCAGCTTTCCTCCCACCCATCTGATGTCATGCCTGTCTCTACTGACTCTTTGTCCTCATGCCTCCTAGTTACAGGTGTTTTCCACATGTTGATCTGGAGTCCTTTTCTCTCTTCTGTGATCCTCCCCCACACAGAGCATTCCATGCCATTGGCTTCTAATATAAACTTTATGTTGATGCCTCCCAAATCCACATCTCAGGCTTCTACCTAAACTCCAGTTCCACATCTTTAATTGCCTGCTAAATGTTTTCCCCTAGAGGTTCTTCTGAAGCCTTGACTCAAGTATGACTTGAGTATGACTCACCTAACGTCATACTCTTTCCTTAAAACCAGCTTCCACACTTTATGACCCAGCAATTCCACTCTTATATATGTAGACAAAATAAATGTGTGCACAATGCACCAAGAGACATGTGTAAGAGTGTTCATAGAACATGATAGAGACCAAATAGAGATTGACTCAGGAATGCAAAGTTGGGTTAAAATTAGAAAATCCAACAGTTTATTTCATCACATTAATAGAACAAGGAGGGGGGAATCATATGGTAATTTCAATAGCTGTAGAAATTCATTTGATAATATTAAATATCCTTTAATGGTAGAAACTCTTAGCAAAGTCAGAGAAGAAGGGAACATCCTTAATCTCTAAAAGACTTACTGCAAACATACTAAATGATAAAATGTTGAAAACTTTCCCTTGGAGATCAGGAACAAGACAAGAAGGCCCTGATAACCACTGCAATTCAACATTGTTCAGAGTGTTCTGACCAGGGCACAAAGCAAGAAAAAGGCATGAGAATTGTAAAGAAAGAAACAGAAAACTGTCATTATTTGCATATATGATTATATTAATAGAAAATCCAAATGATTTGGCAGATAAACTATTGGAATTAATAACAGAATTTTAGCACAGCCCCTGGATATGAAAGCTCAATACCCCAAAATCCAATATGTTTCTCCATACCAGCAAGAAAGAGAAAATGAAATTAATATAAAATACCAAGAAATAAATCTAATAAAGGATGTGCAAGATTCTACAGAAATAAATGATAAAACCTTATTCTCAGACATTAAAGGAGTATAAGAACAGGGAGATATACAGTAGAAAATATGAGAAAAAAAGATGCCTATTCTCCCCAAATTCATTTCTAAATTTAATGTAATCCGGTTACTGTTTTTTGGTCAAACTTGACAAACTGATTTAAAAATTCATATGGAAATATAAAAGGCCAAGGATAGGCATTACCCTTTTGAAGCAGAGGAATAAGAGAGAAAACTTGATCCATTGGATAAGAAGACTGTTATAAATCTATAGTAATCAAGACAATATATTACTTTTTCAGGGATAGAAAAATAAACCATGAAATAGAATGAATAAACCAGAAACATATCCACATGTAAGGTCAATATTTGATATATGTTGCACTATAGAAGAGAAATGTCAGTCCTTAGAATAAATAGTACTGCGACAATGGGTAACTGTAATTAAATTAAACCTCTATCTCACACCATATCCCCACATCTATCCCAGGTGTATTGAAAACCTAAACATGAAAAATCAAAAAGTTCCTGAAAGATAATATAAAATATCTTCATGAGGTTGGGGGGTAGGGAAGAATTGCATAAACAAGATACAAAAGATACCTATTCATAAGGAAAGGGGAAATATTGATAAATTAGATATTTAAGAGTTTCTGTTTGTTAAAGAACACTGTAAGAGTGAAAAGGTAAATCACAGGGTGAGGGAAGGTATTTGCAGCTCACGAAACTGACAAAACTGGTATTTTGGCGTATTAAGAAGTCTCATGTAGGCAAGTCCTGGGGAAAAGGATGGGGGTGGTGCTGACAGACAAATTTGGGGAAAACTGAGACCAAGGAACTTTTGCCTCATTTACTGCTTGAAAGTTTTAGAGGACTCTGCTGGGCAGAGACCCTTTGCCAACATGGGATGGCTCAGCGTAGTAAAGAGAGGCATTGTCAGACATAGTGAGTGTCTTAGGTCATGTTCACTAGAAGCAGAGCTTGAGACAGGGATTCCAGTGCATGCTCTTTATTGGAGGAATGCTCTCAGGAGAAGGGGAATGAGGGAAGTGGGATAGGGCAGGGGAAGGTGCTAAGCAAGGATGTGTTCTTAGCTTCAGCCTGAAGCCATAGGGAGTTCTGTAACATGAATTGCACCACAGAGCTGTTTCCTCTTGAGGCACGGAGGCCAGAATTCCATACCTGTGGCATTTAGTCACTGGCTATGGGCTGTACCCCAAAGGTGGGGGTGAGCATAGCTTCCTAAGCAAAAGTGGCTGCTGCTCAGCTGGGGGAAATTCTCCAAAGAAGGGGACATTTGTAAGGTATTAGCAACCATCACACAACATCTGGAGGCATGGGTGAATTGGTTTGTAAAAGGCATCACTGTGGAGCACCAAGAGTGTCCTCCGCAGTGAGGATCTGGTTAGCATGTCTGAGTCAATCTCAGTTCCCATGTGGTGTGGATCGTATGTTGGAGCCCAGAAGCCTGCATGAGGCTGGGCCTTACAGGGCACAGTGATCTAGAGCAGAGGATAAAGGGTGAGCTCTGTTCTCAGAGGGTGAGGAGGAGGTTGCGACAGGGACTCAGAGGGATTTCTAGGGATGAGATTGAAACAGCCACAGGGAGAGGGTCAATATTCTCCTAGAACACTGAGCCAAAAAACAAAACCAGAAACAGATCACAAGTTCACCAGCTGCCAATGCTGACCTTAAGGCCTGCAGGGAACACAGCACAAGAGAATATAAGGACATCTTCTGTCTAAGACCAACCCCATTTTCATCATCCAGGCTCTAGCCTCGAGAAGACCCTAGGGCTTGGAAATAAGTGCCGTTGGGGTTTGTGAAGAATAATATATTAGGTTTTTAAGACATAAACTACATTTACACTGCACATCTGAATTGTAGTGTAAGTGAAATTTCAACACCCACTTTAAAACACATTATGTCCACTAGATTGTTACAGTCAGACACATAAGTGGAATAAACAAAAGTTTGACCTATGACAACAAGATTGTAAACCCTTTGAGAGCAAAGTGGTGAAGCCCACACAGTGAAGTGTTAGATAATTCTCTTTTATCTCATATTATTTCCCCTAATGAGATTTGAAACTCATCCTCTTTTGTTTCAACCCACACGTGTTACCAAGAGCCACTTGTAAAATTCAAAAGACACCATGGAAAAGGAAACTTGACTAGAAATTGCATTGGGATATCTGTTACTGATTTAGAGAAAAATCATTTTAGACCCACGCCTTACACCACAGTGCCAGATGAATAAAATATGTATAAGAAATTAATTCATAAGGAAAACATTGAACTTTATGAGGTCTCTGGCCTTCTCTATAAGTTTTATAAGCTTTTAAAAATTTTTTATTTATTTATTTATTTATTTTTGGCTGTGTTGGGTCTTTGTTGCTGTGCGTGGGCTTCCTCTAGTTGCGGCGAGCGGGGACTACTCTTTTTTGTGGT